AACATATTTGATAGCAAATTATAATTTTAAAAATAAAAAAATTAAGGATATAAAATGTTTATTCAGATTTAAAACATATAAATACATAACTTAAGATAATAAATAAAATATTTATTTACATTATAAAAATAACTTTATTATATTAAAAAGACATACAAAATTTAGAAAAATATCACACAGCATAGCGCCAGTAAATACCTAATTCTTCTTAAATTTGTTACCTTTAGGATGCAAATGGTTGACATGTTCGAAGAATATGAGTGGAATCATTGATTTCATCTGATTTCTCCAAAAACTTATCATCAAAGATGAACTAAGTGATAATCCGTGTATATTCGCAAGTTTGTATTTTATTATATATTTTGTATTTATTTTTAATATTAAATTTTAGTTTAAATATAGTGATGATATAATTTTGAGCTTGTAAACTATATATATTTGTAAATAATATTTAAATTAATCCATATACTATTTTACCATAATTTTAAATGTTTAACTGATAGCTTTAGATTTTATGATCCATTATGACAAAGTATGTTTCTTTTTCATCTGATGCCCAACTCCCTCCTTAAAGTGAGAAGTGTCCGTTCCATTTTTTTTTTTTTAATCTTACTCGTGCCTAATTTATCATTATAAGACATTTTTTATTGTTAACTTGATTAACTTCCTGCATTTTACAAGTTTTTTTTAAAAAAAATCTGTAATAATATTATTGATAGTTATATAAGATTATATAATATCTCTATTTTTGGACTCTTATTCGTGTATGTTTTTTTTTAGTTTTTTGAAACTGTGAATGAAGTTCTAAAATTATATTTTGTTATCTTCATTTAGGTCATTGTCTTTTTGATTAACCCCCAATGACAATCAATCAGGAATCAAGTGAGAATTTCATCTTTTGTTTTTCCGCTGACTTCAAAAGATCAAACTATAATACAAATATACGTTAGCTAAATTCATTCTGTAGAAAAATATAATATGTAGATTTAAGTATAAAGTAAAAACTAGAGTAACAAGATCATTCAATAGACGTTTTCCTTTTCCTTTTGTATATTCGTAATAACAGTATACCAATCCTAGCATGAATTTGCGTCCAAATAAGAAAACCACTTCTCATATCAGTCAAAGACTACAAGGCCAGCCTATTAAAAATAAAATTATCTATTATACAATAAAGTAGACAAATAATGGTCTAAGTACCACTTAACGGACTTATCACAATTCCATCTATAGTTTGACTTATGACTAAGCGTTGTTACTACATCACCATTATCATCTTATCGAAGGAGAAAGAAATGAGACAGCCTAAATCTTCACTTTAAAGACAATACTTTCGTCTAGACAACACCTCAATACGATCGCTTCTAGTCCTCCTTCCACATCACCTAAGCTCTTTGGTTACATGTTTCATGGAGGAAGAATTTAGTAATACATATCATTAGGTAGAGTGAAATATCAAATAACATAAACAATTCTCTGGAATTGTCAGAGAAGAGAAGCAAAACATGACCATAGCAATGTCATCGTCTCTATGAAACTAAGAGTCAATGATTGAGATTGAGCTTAACCCTCTTGTCTTTTTTTTTTTCCTTTTTTTTCTAGTTAGTTCTTAACAAAACTTCTTCCTTCCACCACTTTGTAGGCTTTCTCTTCTTCTCTTTCTTCTTCCTCTTAGAGATGACCTATCACCATTTTTGATACATTCCTTGTTATTTTTACCATTTTTTTTAATCTCACTCCCAATCTATTCTATCACGTAATTCTCCATACTCCTCTGCTTCCATCATTGTTTTTTCTGTTTTCTATTGGAACTCAATTTTAAGGCATGTTGCATTGGTACATTTCCGAGTAACTCCTGACTTTGTCCCGAGTAAATTATTGGATTATGAGTGTACTCATATGTTAAAATTAGAGTTTGTTTGAATAAAAAATGCTTGTCTTATATTTATTGATTGAAATGTACAAAATGGGCTAGTAAAAATTATGAAGAAGTCCTAACAAAGTTAAAGACGTTAGGACAATCGTAGAGAAGAGTGAAGCTAAACCACATGTTCGCACACCGAGACGAGTCGAAAATGGCTCGGGTTCGGGTTTAGATTTAGATGTGGATTCGGGTTAGATAGACCTTGGTCCAATAATCTCTTTTTTATACCAAATTATTATTTGTGTACTTGATCACTACATAAATTTTAATTTGGTTAAAAGTAAAATTCTTCTAGTAAAAAATGAATAAATCTTGGTCAAATCAAATATTTTCTATAATTAATTAATTTTTAATCAATTTTATAACTCTATAACTAATCATAATAGCTCAATATTAATTGATTTTAATGAGTATTATGGACAATTTATGGAGTTAAAAAGTCTCATCTCTCTCATTCTTTATAACAAGAACATGAAACAATAATTTTCATACACTTCTTCTATTTTTTTAATTTTCTTTGGTCTTTTCACTATGAGGGTATAACACAGAAAGAAAGTTTGAAAGCTTATGGTTTTACAGTGATGCTAATTATACGAATAATGTAGTTGTATCATGGGATTCAGAACACCATGCAACCGTTGCATTACGGTGCGTTTACAAAATTAAAGGAAAGAGATCACCATATCTGATTCTGCAATCTATTTTTTTAAACTCATGTTTAATCGGTATCATTTTATATTATATTTATTATTTATTTTATGTAATTTCTTAATAAATTATTAGTCTGTTCAATTGTAGTAATTATTTTACTGCATTTTCACCCCCAATCTCACTTTGAACCTATTCATGCTTACTACTCTCTGTACTCTCTTTCTCCAAACCCACCTCTTCTTATAAATGATTTAATACATATGAGATTCAATGATATTGATGAAAAACTATTCAAATTTCAAGAGTTTTTTTGGAAAAGAAATATTAATTAACTTCTATTTGATAATCATTTTTTATTATTTAATTTAGTTTCATTTTCTAAATAATTTTTAAAGCTGATGTGTAATGTAAAGTGGATGATGAGGTGACATATTTTTGTGAGACTTAACTAAAGGCGTGATTGGTAAAGTGGAAAGGAGATGAGTAGCTAACAGCAGTGGTAGGGGGAGCTAGGAGCTGGGAGTTGGGAGCTGGGAGCTGAAGTGGGAGTCGAGAGCTGAGAGCTAAAGATGAGAGTTGAAGCGGAAAGCATAATTATTTTTCAAAAATATATTTTTTAAAAAAGTGAAATTAATTATATAAAAAAGAAATATAATTTTGGAAACAAACAAATTAATCATTCTCTTTTGCATAAAATACTTTTGCAATTATATTTTTGTAGAAAACAAATTTTAAGCTAAATTCTTTTTTAAAGAAATATTAAAGAAGCTTACAAAAGTTGAAGAACTCAATTATAGAAGTGACGTACTTTACGATGAGATGATTTAATTTATAAGAATTTATTTGGGTTATTAGTAATTTATCAAAAGATATTCTATATAAATTATAGATCGAATAATATATTTAACAACAGATTTTCTAATAGAAAATCTATTATTTAAATTGTAATGCATATCTTTGACGAAGAAAAAAATATTGTTATGTATATCCAAAAGATAAATTATTGAGATTAATCGTTTAAAAATAATAATTTTTAATTAATACTATTATTCAGAAAAAAGTTGAGTATTCAAAACTTCTCATTTATCTGCGTTATCACACACTACCATTCCGAGCAGTTACCTTGTTTAAAGCATATGTTTGAGATCTGCTTTTTTTTTTTAACTTGATTGGCGTTGACTCAGTGATGGTACACTGTAATGTTGGAATCAACGTGATAACAATCACGCCTTTAAGTCTTTATATAATAGATTTATATTCATCTACAAAATTATGGGATCCACATAATTAGAGAAAATGGTTAATTCACCTTAAATTTGTTATTCCTACAAAAAGGAGAGTACCAAAAGAACAAATTTCATTCAATCTCTCCAACTGAAGAAAATGATTCAACTCATCATTATTTTATTCATTCAACTCATTCTTTTAATTTGTAACCATTTGCATTCTTAAAAAGGAGAATAGGAGAGGAATAAAACTCATTCAACTTATTTAACTAAAGAAAATTATTCAACTCATCATTATTCCTTCCATTCAACTCATTCCTTTGATTTACAACCATTTGCACCTAAGTTTTCATTTTTAGTATTAAGTATTTTTGGACAACCCATATGGAATTTATTTCCATCATATTAATAGAGGCGAGGATGAACTTACTAATGAATTAGAGTGTTTATCAATATAATCAAATGTTAACTTATGATTATAGCATCGATATGTGTACGAAACTGTGATTTTTAGTAGAACAAATTTGCAAAGAAGGATTCATTGTGGAAAAGCTGTCTCAGTGTTAATATTGGTGGCCCTTTTAGACCACAAAACTACTAACTCAATATTTCTCTAATGTAATTAGTTTGCTTGTAAGTTGCCTATGTCAACAACATCACATATGAGATTCAATGATACTGATGAAAAAAGATTCAAATTTCAAGAGTTTTTGGGAAAGAAATAGTGATTAACTTCTATTTGACAATCATTTTTTTAATTTAATTTAGTTTAATTTTCTAAATAATTTTTAAAGCTGATGTGTAATCTACAATGGGTGATGAGGTGGCATATTCTTGTGAGACTTAACTAAGTCTTTATATAATAAATTTACATTCTTCTACAAAATTATGGAGTTCACATAATTAGAGAAAAATGGTTAATTCACCTTTTTTTTTGTCTAAGGTTAATTCATCTTAAATTTGTTATTCTTACAAAAAAAAAAGAGTACAGGAGGAACAAATCTTATTCACCTTATCCAACTGAAGAAAATGATTCCACTCATCATTATTCCTTTCATTCAATTCATTCTTTTTATTTGTAACTATTTGCACCCTTAAAAATGAAAAAAGGAAAGGAATAAATCTTGTTCAACTAAATAAAATTATTCAACTCATCATTATTCTTTTCATTCAACTCATTTCTTTTATTTACAATCATTTGCACCTAAGTTTTCATTTTTAGTATTAAGTATTTTGGACAACCCATGTGGAATTTAATTCCATCATATTTATACAGACGAATAGGAACTTATTAATGAATTAGAGTATTTACCAACACAATCAAGTGTTAACTTATGATTGTAGCATCCATATATGTAAGAAACTATGATTTTTTTGGTGGAACAAATTTCCAAAGAAGAATTCATTGTGGAGAAACTGTCTCAATGATCAGGTATGTTTTCAGTCTATTTTTTTACAGTGCATTATTCTAATTATATTGTTTCATATAGAATTGTTTTTGACCAAATTTTTCTTTCCACTTCGTTGAGGATTATGATGAATTTCACTTGAAATGACTTATTATCAATTTCATCCATCACTTTTGACCTAACTTATTACAAAGAAGCCACCATTCATATGTGTTGGTAATATCATTTGTCAAAGTAATTTGAATTAACTTATTCATCCCATAATAATTAGAGAAAAACGGCTAATTAACCTTAAATATCAGTCATCAACATTTCTTTATCTACTAAAATATTATGTGAAGAATAAGTTAATTTAAATTAGTTTAACAAATGATATTACCAACACATATATGAATGATGACTTATTTGTAATAAGCTAGGTCAAAAGTGATGGATGAAATTGATAATAAGTTCTTTCAAATGAAATTCATCATAATCCTCAAACAAGTGGAAAGAAATATTTGGTCAAAAACAATTATATATGAAATAATATAATTAGAATAATGCATTGTAAGAAAAAGAAATAGACTGAAAACATACTTGATTATTGAGACAGTTTTTCCACAATAAATTCTTCAACTCTCCTTTCTGGCATCTGCGTCTCTACCTTTACGAGCGAGCGCATCATACTCTTCAGGGGAGATAGTCACAGTCACATCGGTGACAGCCTTAATCTCAGCGATTGCAACCCCTCAGCCGCTCTGGCCATCTCCTTCATCTTTCTAGCTGCCACCAACATTATCTTGGCCGTTTCGATCTTGTCTCTCGTGTGTTGTGTCTTCTCAAGTGCAGCCTTTTCCTTATTCAGTTGATTATTCAAATGCTCAACCATCCCGGGTATACCCGCAAGATCCACCACTGTAGAAGAACATCTTCTCTCAACATCTCCTCCTCATTCTTCTTCTGCAGCTTTGAGCTGAGCTCTTCAATTGTGGCTTTAGTGGCCTCGAGCTCCTTCGGTACAAGGAGCGTTTCACGTTCAGTAGCTCAGCAGCCTGTGCCTTGAGTTCCATTATATTTTCCTGCCACCAGAAATCAGAAACTTTACATTACATATCCTTAAATGTAACAATTTTTTGATTACTTTAATGGAATCTTACTTTCAATTCTATGATATAGAACACACTACTTTGACAAAATGTGACAAACCTAAGCCAGCTTCGCTTATTAGAGATCAGGTTGAATAAATTGAAGGCATTGAACAAATTCTAATAAAGGGGTTAAGTTTTTCTTCATCATTATTGCTAAACATGAAAGGGAAGTCAAGTATCAGCATCATCATAATTATAATCATGTTTTTAAGATTTGAACCAGAGACATCATCAAACATCAATTCCAAGCTTTTCAGCAAGAAATATCATCTTGTCGTTTCAGATAACAGCATTGCAAAACATGCCTAATCAGTCAAAATCAGTAAAAAAACAAAATATCAGAGAAAAGTGAGGGTCAAACCTGAAAGGCTTCTGAGACTTTAGTATTGTAAGAAGGTCTCCAGAAACCGAAACCGAAACCACCGAACAGATAGGCCGCCTCTCTCACTGACTCGATCGGCGGTGAAGTGTCGATCTCCGCTTGGCAATTCGCATTATACGACAGATCTGTGTCAAGGTTTAAGCATTCCCGCTCTATCACAGTGCCCGATTCTGGGGAGTTCGGGCATGAACATCTACGGGGAAAGAGAAGCAGAAAAGACAGGTCTTTGAGGCGCGGAGAGAGAGAGAGAGAGAGAGAGAGAGAGAGAGAGGGGTTTAAAGAGGGTGTTATTAGTTTAGGGATATACTATATAGATGATCGAAGAACCAATATAATCTTTTAAAAATTTGTTGATTTCAAAACATGTTGATTTTATTAGGGTTTTCATTGGTAAATTTTATGGAATGGTGAAATGGTTAAAAATAATTCTGTAAAAATTTCACCAATCAAAAAAATTTACGGAAAAATTTGAGTTCTGCAGAATTATAGAAATACTTACAAAAAATATAAAAAGTTTTAAAATTTTTAACATAGAAATCTCTCTAAATTCGTTAAAATTTATTTTACAATAAAATTCGTAGTTTTAAAATTATGAACCAATAATACAGAATTTAAATATAAATTTTAAAATTATAAATTAATAACAAAAATTTAAATATAGATTTTAAAATTATAAAAGTAATAATACTAAATTTGGTTGTTTTTTTAAAATTCTATTAAATTTAATTTAGTTTTAGTTTTAGTCGAGAGTGGAACCAAAACTCTGGTTTTCTAGTGTTTTGTCGTTGTGAGGATGATGATGGTGGTGGAGTGGGAGAAGAGATGGATGTCAGGTGTGGATTTGTTATTGGGTTTGATGATGATGGTTGGATTTGGTCTTGTATTGATGGTGGATGTGTATGGGCTGGATTTGGGCTTGTTTGTTCTGTTTGGTGTGTCTGGGCCATGGGTGGCGGCCCATTTTGATTTGGAGCAGTGGGCTCAGAATGAGAGAGAGAAGGAGACAAGGAGTTAGAGTTAGGTGATAATACCTGAGTGTTCGTCGAGGTTACCGGCGGTGGTGACATTGACGTCGTTGGGTGAGGATCTGAGATGGGAAAACTCGTCGGCAGAAGCGATTGAAGTGGAAGAGTTGTATGGAATGGCCAATTCGTGTCTGTTATCACTTGTTCTGGAGCAGCTACTCGATGATTTGGAGGTGTGGCGAATGGAAAAGAGCGCTCATCGAATTGAACATGACGAGAGATATATTGTCGGCGAGTTTGTGGGTGATAACACAAATATGCACTCTGTGTATTTGAGTATCAAAAAAAGACACACCGGAGGGAGCGATCTTCAAGCTTGTGGCGGTTGTATGGACGAAGCCATGGATAACAAGAGCAGCCGAAGACCCGAAGCTTATCGTAGTTGGGTTTTGATCCAAAAAGCTTCTGAAACGGTGATTGGAGGTGAAGGACTGGAGTTGGAAGCCGATTGATGAGATAGACAGCAACTGCAAAAGCGTATGGCCAATACATTTTAGGGACAGAGGCTTGTGACAGTAACGTCAGTCCCATTTCTACGATGTGATGATGTTTTCGTTCGGACAGGCCATTATGCTCCGGAGTGTGAGGTGGTGAGGTGAGATGAGATATGCCCTTGTTGGTGAGATGCTGCCGTAATGCCATATATTCGCCGCCGTTATCGGAGTTTAAGGTACCAATCCTTCTGTGAAACTTGTTTTCGACAAGATTTTGAAAAGCGATGAATGTCTCCTTGACTTGAGATTTTTGTTTGAGCGGATATAACCAAGTATATCTTGTGAAGTGGTCAATGAATATAACATAAGTATTTGAATTGATCGGTTGATGGGATAGGTGAATTCCATACATCAAAGTATAAGTTTTCAAGCGGGTGTTGAGAGGTGATAATGGAATGAGAAAAAGGTATTTTATGGCTCTTATTTAGGAGACAATCAGAACATGAAAATGGGTCTGATGTTTTATTTAAAACAGAAAGAGAAAAAATCAAAATAGTGGTGTTTAAAATGGGAACCGACAGATGATCCAGGCGTGAATGTCATATAGAACGAGTAGCAGTGGAAGTTGCTGCGGACAAAGCTGTGACCGGAGACACTTGTACTAGCCACTCATACAACTCTTCTCTAGTTCTGCTTTGGTGTAATGGAATTCCCGTTCTGAGATCCTTCACCTAAAATAACGTGGGGAAGAATTCAACAGAAACACGGTTAGAGTTACACAACCTGAACACAGAGATAAGATTCTTGTGTATCTGTGGAGCATATAACACATTTTGTAATCGTATTTGACTGGTTTTTGTAGGAAGAGAGATAGAACCCGTGTGAGTAATAGGAACGGAGGAGCCATCGGCAATGATAACTTTGTCGCTCCCGTTGTAAGGTTGATGCATCGATAGATTGGCCAGGTCTGAGGTCATGTGGTGAGTGGCGCCACTGTCCATGAGCCAGTTATTTTGTGCATACTGCGAGTTTATGGCAACATTTTACTTGACTACCATGGCGTGAAAGGACTCTGTTGTGGATGTGAGACGACTTGAAAGTTTTGAAGCTGGGAACACCTTTTGGCACTGTGACCCTGAACTCCGCAGATCTGACAGCGGCCAAGGTAAGGCCTCGAACCTCTGGCTTGGTGTTGAGATTGTTGCCAGTTGTTGTTGTTGTGGAATCTCTGACGACTGTTGTTGTTGTTGTTGTTGTTGCGAGTGAACTCGCGAGAGTTATTGGCGCGATGTTGAACCGCATTAGCAGTCTTTGGAAGGGTGGGATGAGCATGTTCTGCAGAAGAGAGAAGCTTGGCTTCGTGATTAAGGAGACGTTTATGAAGTTCCGTCAGCGTTGGTGGGAGATCTCTTCCTTCGATTTGATCAATAACATTTTTGTAGTCTTCGGGTAAGCCCTCCAATATCAGATCTATCTGATCTTCATGCTCAACTGCTTTTCCTGGAATCGCCAATTGATCGAGTCTGGTGGTGATACCTTGGAGATATTCATCGATGGTACGAGTGTCTTTCCGCCAATACTTAAGTTGAGTCTTGAGTTGCTTGATATGGCCTCGACTGGGCTTAGCATAAGTTAGTGCTAAAGTATTCCATACTTGATATGATGTAGTGGCTCGGGAGACAAGCGGTTGGAGGGAAGGAGTGATAGTGCCAATGAGGGAGCTGAAAATCAATCGATCTTGACGTTTCCATATTGTATATGCCGGATTGTCTGTGTCGACATCAGCAATTGTGATGGTGGCTGGAGGGATCTGAGCGGATCCATCAATATGACTTGCAAGGTCATACCTGTGCAGAAGAGCATGAACTTGGATTTGCCACATGAGGTAATTGGTAGCGGTAAGTTTAGAGACGCTAGTCATGTTGACATTGAGTAAGGTTTGGGTGTTTATGGAGATGGTATCGTTTACTGTTGTAGGAGATGTGTTTGTGTTTTCGGAGGTCGACATCGTGTGTTTCAGTATGAAAGAAAAATGGAAGAATTTCTTGGATCTATGGCTCTGATACCATACAGAAATATAGAATTGTGTCTTCTCATTTCACTTGAAGTAAGTATATATACAAAGATGATATAACTAGGGTATTTGGTGAGAGTTAATGAGAATCTAAACTATACATATTTAAAACCGTAATGTACTCAATCATATATGTAATTGTAATCAATCACTGATCTGATAATCTCCTTATAAATGTGATTAAAGACGTGTCGTCGGTGTCGAAACGCCACACCACGCCAACGCCACGGTCGTCTGTATTTGTTGTCTATAGTAAGAGAGAGGGAAAAAAATAGTCATGTATCCGTTTTTGTGCTCAGATTCGATTAGTTAATTCTTTTGCTGTATTGAGTAAAAAACATATTGCATCGTCGTCTCGTCTCTTCTCATCTTGATCACCGACTCAATAGGCTGGGACAATCCGTGAAAAAAAAGAAAGTCAAAAGTAGAAAAAAGTTAAGCCAAGTGGTAAAAATTTGGGTTGATAGAGTTTTTTAAAATTTTAGTTATCCGACCAAACATGTAACTGGTTACATGCCATGTACTGATCCGTCACTAGAATAAGCTGTTTTGATCCAAACCGATAGTTTATAGAACCCATACATGAAATGTTCGTTTAATTCGAGTTGGACATGTCACATAGGTAAATTCAAATTACTCAACTCGAGATGCACATGCCTAACTGTAACTAAAACCTTTATATATTGGTAGTGATTTTTTTAGTTGCCAATCACCATCATATTCCATCCACCATCAAAAAAAATAAATAGAAGATATCTCTTCAGAGTCCTAAACACATACAATCACTATATATATCTAAAATTTGGTATCTCTTTCAGAAAAGAATGATCATGTTTCAGTTCACTCGATTTGTATTCGCCTTCTATAAACAGTTGACCCTATCTAGAAGAACCGTTTCTACATGGTGGTAAACTAATTCGTTCATGGTTACTTTTATTTTACTCACATAGAAGATTATATATCTTTAGTCACTAGGCTATCTATGTGTAGTGTCATCATAATTTGTCTTCTTTTTTTGTCGAAATGTTAAACTAATATTGTCATTTCTGTCATCAATTATGCTCCGCGGCATGATGATCCATTAGGTTGTTGCTATGATCAATACATTCAACCGAAACCTAAATGTGTGCATAAAGATTGTAAAAGCAATATTGAGAATAAAAGGAATTAGTTTATATTTCAAAATTAAAAGGAAATCTACTAATACTTAATAAAAGAGATTTCGACCTACCGGATTTGAACCAGTGACCTAAGAATTTGCTGTTAAGAAATCTATTACAGTCCTCTGCTCTGCCAACTGAGCTAAGGTCGAATTTGATATAGCTTTCCATATTCATTATTAAATATTAGAAAATTGCTAGCTATTAAGAGGTATTTCCTTTTCTTCTGTTTAAGAAACTAGCTAATTTTTCAAAAAATAAAGAAATTTTAGTTATCCTTAATAAAGTTTTCCAACATGCCCGATTCAAATTAGTGATTTAAGGATTTGCTGTTAGAAAACCTATTATAGTCCTCCCCTCTACCAATCCTCCGCTATAACAACCGAGCTAGAGTTAGATTTGATATAAATTTCAACATTCATTAAATAATCGAAAAGTGCTAGCTCTTAAGAAGTAGGAAAATTGGGTCATATGACCATATTTCTAAGCTAAATTAATCAAATAACCATAACAAACTAGGTGCTATAATATTCTTTGTATATTCTACAATATATACAAAATTACCCTTTTATTTTTTTCTCCTTACTCTTTTTTCCTCCGATATTCTCTTCTCTTTTTCATCTTTCC